AAGCCATAGTGAAGTGCTGTCTTGTCAAGAATAGGATTGTAAACGAGTCAAGTAGGTCAAGAGTCACTCGCGAGTGCTCAAATCAATTCTTGACTCAAGCTTTGCCAAACTTAATCTCGAGTCAAGCTCAAACAATTCAATCGACCAAACAAGTCGAGTCTCGAGCATTATTTCAAGAGGCTCAAAAGCTCGATGAGCCGCTCGACTTTCGATTTACATAAATACCTCATATAGTTTAATTATCAACATTAGAACACAATGTCAAAATTGTCTATTTAGTATTAGATTAAAAATAGTACCCTTACATTTGAAATATAGTTAATATTTCGAGTCGAACTCGAGCCATATCGAGCATCAATTCGATCTCAAACATCGAGTCGAGCTCGAGCATTCTTATTTTTTTCAGGAGTCGAGTCGAACACCATTTTATACGGCTTGACCAAGCTCGAGCTCGAAATCGAGCACTAAAGAAAAAAAAATTTAATATGCGCTCAACAAAGCCCATGCTCGACCCGACTCGTTTCAAGAAGCACCACCACCACAAACATTCAACCTATACTGCATAGTCTTCATCGCAATTGACTCCTCATATTTGAGCAGCAGCGTACGAGTTATCCAAGAATTAGGAATCAGCCGTGTCAAGTGGTACAACATTTTATGCCATTGGCACTACAATGGGTCAACATAGGGAGGGGGTTAATCCAGAGCAAGAAGACAACAAATTAGGCTCATCTACTAGTTAACTAATAAGCTTCTGTACATTCTCATCAGGTCACTTAGCCGGTCAAATATCAGTACCCAAAAAACAGCTGCCAAAAACACACCTACCGTCTTAGATCGGCATCAAACTGTCTAGTCGTCAATGCTCTCACGAAATAATTTCGAGTGTCGGGTAATATACGTTGAATGAGTTGGGGATACCTACATTCCAACAGGTTACCGTTAGCACAAATAGAACAAAATCGATCCTTAAGTTTTGCCCTCGTTAGAACACAAAAGCCATGTTGAGCTTCAAAATTATCGAAAAATAAAAGGAGAGAAATATGTGCTACATTTCAAATTCAAAGAGCCAATCTCACCAGGTTTTTTTTTTTAATTATTTTATTTTCAAGAGCAATGGGATTTTATTAAGGGTGAGGGTAAAACATACCATGCCATGGGACTTAATTTGTCAAAATTATCAAGGATGAATAGGATGCAAGCATGTCTCAAAGACTGAGCATTAAATGCCTCCGATAACTCAAACATGAGAGACACGTTCTCTACTGATATATCCTACAGAAAAGAACAAATTATTAGAGACGAGAAGCTTTCACACACACACACACACAAACATATATATATACATATATATATATATATATATATATATATATGTCCATATTTTCTTGTGCACCCACCTGTGCAATGGCGTATTCACATAGGCGCTTTAGACCCTCTAACAGATACTGGTCAGCAGCTCTCAAAAGATCCTGTGCATTGTCTAAGTTGACGTCAACAAATCCTGTGTAGATATATCTGCAAAGTGAAATAATAACACTGAGTTCATCATTTACCAAGACAACAAGTGCTCATCCGATTTAGAACTCCACACAAGAGCAAAACATGAGGAAAATTGTGAATATTCACCTCATCATCAAACTCAAAAACATCCCATCTGATATTAGGAACCTCGATATCTTTGGCATCTCTCTCCTGTAATATTTGCAGAACTTTTTAATAACTTAGCAAAAACGGGCATAGACAATGCATTGATCTTTAGACCAAACTTCATGAAATTCATGCACCCTAGACAAATGTAATATCAAGTTAAAGTGATGTGTTACATAAGCTTTATAATTTGAGCCATGAACCAAAAAGGTGAAAGTTCTTTTCAGTATAGCAAACTTATAAAAGAACTCCACAAGGGAAACATATGCACATCATTCAGTTGGATATATGTCCAATAGGAAGAATGTTGTACGACATATAGGGGCAAAAGTAACACGTAGATGGTATTATCAATCCATAATGGAGGACTGAAATGTTATCAATGACGGATGAAGGAAAATGGCCGACACGCCATATTGCCATAATGCATGGGTGCCACTTGATAACACTAAGTAGGAGTTCATGAGACATAATCCAAAGCTCATATATATTGCTCACCCGGTAACCACCATCAAACATAGCCCGAAAAGCATCGAATGAGGCAAGCAAACAAATTCTGTGCGCATAGAATCGTTTTCCTAATAAGTAAACAAAAATGAAGAGTTAGAAATTAGGTGAGTGAAGAAAGCATTCAAGAATCTTAAAAGCAGATATTCACCTTCAACTAAAAATGTCACATCAGACAATGTAGGACTATTTACATACTGCTCGCCCAAATATACCTGCAGCAGACTTGAGTAATTGGCAAAACCAAAAGTATTACCACGATTGATAAATAGCAATCACCAATTGTAGGTAACCAGCATGCACAGCTATTTTACAAAGAAAAATGACATGGATACACATTACTTCACTTGACTTGAAATACGTGTTTCCTTTTGCTGAATGCAACTAGTATTTCAATTAAAAGTTGTGTTTAGTTTCAACTCAACTACCAACTGCATTGTAACCTGAGGTATAGGGGACAGAGGAGCAGCATCTATGGGAGACTGTGAGCTTGCTTTATTAGCCAGCTTGCATAAAGCCACTGAACTATCTCTTTGGTCCTTCGAGTTAGTGGATTCTAGAAGTTCCAAAAGCAAAGACAGTCCTGCAGGAATATAAGGTTTGTGAGGCAAATAAGTTCAATAAAGTCTAGACAGGTTGCCGTGATACCAACTTCATGCACAAAGTAGCAAATGGTGCATACCGTTTTTATTGATGAAAATGATTCTTTGGTCATCTGGAGAACATAGATGAGCAAGAGCCAGAGCCACACGTCTTTGAACACATTTCTCTTCCACACGCACCATGTACAATAAGTGACTCAATACCTGCTCGGTGAAAGTATACACCAAGTTGAAGATCCATAAAATAAACTTCAAGGATAGCTAAAAACAATAATGTGCCCATAGCATTTGAACAACTTGCAAAACAAAGATTGTGTTCATCTTCTCCCGGAGTTACAGACAAGAATTTCCAAATGACTGCTTCGATTATTTCACATCCTAATTATCTTCTGCTTTTTCAATTTAAATTCAGTTGATTTAAATATCATGCTAAATTAAAGTTAGAAAGTGAAAACTTATTGTACTCTAAAACAAATAAAATCAATACCCTCCCATGGATTTTCTCTTCAAGTCTCTTCAGTGTCTTGGCTATACAATCTCTTGTAGGCTGCAGCCAGTAGCGAGATAGTAGATAATTTGATTAAACCAAATTTGTATAACTCTAATGGAAAAGATAATCAATTAGTATTAAGAGTTGAGACACTACTTGGACAATAAATTCACCGTCTTGAAGTTTCTGAACACCCCCAACTCTAACAAAATCTGCAACATTATCCTTCAGCAGATAGGGTAGATAAAGAATAGAAGCAACAGTCAGAGCAGCAAAGATAATCAACCACGGTTGTTTTAACCCTCCATTTTACAATACCTCATTATCTGCAAGCCCGTAGAGAGCAAATGCAGCACTATGTTGCAGAGATCCATTTTTGGACTCAAGAAGCTTGAGTAATGGTACTATTCCACCACTGTGTGCAATACCGGCCTGATTATGTGGATCCTGCCAGAATGCAAAAGTAGATTGATTACCCAAAATTAAACCAACTTAACTAAATGGGAGATTTTGGTGGTCTGAAACTAAGATGACCAAGAAGAAAATTGGAAATGTTACCTGAGCTAACCCCCAGGGCAAATGCCGACATGTCCCTTAATTGAGCATCTGGTGAGTGGAGCATTTCAATGAGTGGGGGAACAGCACCTCTTTGAACGATGTGCACCTTCAGAATCATCAGGCAAAGATTCGTGAGTAGCAAGAAAATTTGACCAAATAGACCTCTATCTTTCAATGGTTGTTCATTAGGATCCAGAATTCAGGTTCAATGGAAAAATATTATCTTCGTCCACCTTACAGTCTGAATCTGTCGCAGCAAATTGCCCAAGAAGCAAAGCAGCTTCCCTTTGGCTCTCTGAGCAACAGGAGCTGTTATGCATACAGATGTCAGGTCGACATTTCAAATGGAAATCACGCACTCCATAAATTTTGATATTTATTGTAAAAAAAATCGAAGTCTTGAAAAACGGCAAAACAGTTGCAAAATATGCAGAGAATACTGGAATAGAATGACTAAGTTGGAGTTCAAGAAGTCCAACGACAGAAAGGTTATTAGGGGTCGGTGAAACCAGGTCATAGAATGATGAGTGCTCATATATTAATACAGAGAAGATGAACATCAATAACTATCATGGAAGGGTTTCAAGAGAACAGTGGCCTTCACATAGCTTAGCTGACATGATTTCATAAACTACTAGACCATTGTACAGGAAAGGGGCAGGTTGAGCTAGGGTGACATGACCAGTTCAAATAATGTTGTAAATTTAGATGTGGTCGACAAAGACAAAGCAAGGTGTGCATCGAGGGAGGTGCACGACTAGACAATTGAATCATTCTAGTCAATACAGCAGTTCAATTTATAAACTTCCATCTTTCTCTTCATAGTATCCTATACACCCAGAACAAAACAGAGTTCTGTGGTTCCCCTTGTCGTCCAAACTTGAAGAGAAAATATGCAGGGCAAACAAAACTAATATACAGCCAACCATACCGAAGTAACCCAATGACAGGTTGCAAAGCTCCAGAAGCAAGGACTTCCTTCTTAATGTTTGGAGATGAGTGGACCAGATTTCCAATAAAATCAACCTGATAATTGCATCAGCAATATTAAAGATTATTTCAAATACAATTTCATAAGAAATCACAATAGGCATACATAAAATAATCAAGGGGGGAAATAGAAAGCTAACCGCTTCATAGTGTATGGCAGCATCCTCAGACCGCAGCATAAGTATTAAAGTAGGCAGAGCATTGCATTCCACAATCTGAATCAACAGACAGTTAGAACCACCACAGAGTAGCAAACAACATATACTTCATAGGCTACTGAGCCAAAGAAACCTGATTTTTGTTCTCATCGTTTTTAAAAGCAAGGGTTCGAAGGGCTCCAGCTGCTGCCCTCTGCACCTTTGCATCAGCAAATTCAAGCAATTCAACAAAAGGAGGAATACCATCCTCAATCCTGAAAGCATGATCCAAGTGTCAGATAACAGGCACAGCATTTCCAATCACAAAAGGCAAAAAAACTACCTAACACAAGTTTTAATGCTGCTATTTTCATGAGCAAGATTAGTGATTGCATCAGCTGCTCTCCTAATGGCACCATTTACTGCCCGAGAGTTCGGATCATCACTACCCCGTGCTAACAGATCCACAAGATGGGTTAGGGCTCCCGCATCGACAATATGCTGTTGATGTTCTGGCTGTCAAACACATACAGTAGGACTAGAAATAGTTGTCACTGATATATATCAGGCCGATCCAAATTTAAGCAATTATTGTTAAAATGCACATGATTAATCTAAGTCTAAGTCCATACAATATAGAAAATTTTATATCATAATCAGGATAGCAACCAAGTTCTCGATACTATATCTGCCCGACTTACATAAATGGTTTATGTATTTAATCTTGGCAGTGAGTTATGCATAAAATTCTTGAAAGTTGCTCGTTTAAGAAACGAAGCATAGAGTTCATATTACTAAATTCCGCAATTGAACTGATCAAAAATTCACCATGACCCTCTACATCTTCCTTGAGTGAAACGTGTGAACAATGAGTAAAACAGACGTGAAAGGGAAAGAAAAATAGTTTATGCCGTAATAATGCTGAGATTTCCCCTTGTTTCACAGACATTCTGACAACCTGGATTCTTTCTATAATATGTGCAGGGCCATACACTATTGATATCGGGCATCCACGTGAACTGTATGAGCTCACGTGAACATGATAGCATGCGGAAAAGAATTCAAACATAGTGGAGCAAAAATGAACCCAACAGGTATAAAGCAGTAAAGAACTTGGCAGCGTACAAGTACGTGAATGCTTCGATTTGAGTCCACAATCTTAATATGACAAGAACACTCGTGGAAGGATAAGGAAGCAAAACTTGTATACTGCAAATCAGTAATGAAAAAATAACCTCAATAACATAGAACGAGACATAATTTCAAGAACAGCAATTACTTTAATAGGTAGGAGTCCAAGAGTGAAGGCACTTCCTTTCTCCACTTCATGCTCGTACAGCCTCGGTCCACCTTCTCTCTCCCTCTCTAGTGGTGGAGCTTGTAGATGCTTTACAAGCACGGGAACCGCAGCACAGTCTACTATCACATTCACTACATCCTCTGCAGCACACGCATAATTCCATTGTATATCACAAACACAAGCTCAAAATCCAGCACATGCACAATTAAAATATATTATACGAGCATATATCAAATTGATTGAAAAAAATTCACCAACAAAACAAGTTTCTCCAGTGGCTACATCTTCCAAAGACCACATGAGCTACAATCCACCACAGATCAAAACCATAAACGCAGGATAGCACATGCAAACTAAAGCAGATAAATTAACTAATTGACAAAAGCAAATAACCAGCAAGTACTTTCAATATTGATTTTTTTTTTTCCCAGTACCGTTCTTCGCAAGTTCGGACAGGACGTGTATGGCGCGTTTGGCGGCCGCGCGATCTTGCTCCGCGTACGAGAAAGACCAATCGAGGATCTCGACTTGGGTGCGGATTTCATTCGCTAGATCTCGCTGCGATTCAGAAGCCGATTCGCCGCCTATCCTCACCTGATCGTCGCCGAACTCCTCCTCGTCGAGCTTCCTCTTCAAGCTCCGCCGCGAGGGCGACGCCACTGGCGCCGATTTCTCGCGGTGGTGACGGCCGGAGCTCGGGTTTTTGCTGTCCATGGGAACGGAGATGAAGGAAAGACCAAAACGTAGTGCGTGAAAAATGGTGTTCTATGTGTGGAGAGCGCAGCTGGAGGCCGTGTCTGGGGGTATTTTAGGAATTATAATGTTTCTAATTTTCTTTTGTCGGGTTATACTTAAGTCCCGTTGTGCTTTTTCGCGGAATGGTTCCGCTATGTCTGGGCCAATAAAAATTTGACAAATCACTTTGGTTTAGAAGGCTCGCAGCATGTGATCATTTCCATTGAGGAGTTTACAACCGGCTACAACAAGTTGCTTCCGGTTTCAGACAAAGTGCAATCGACTCATGGCTCTCCCAACAGAGATCTCAATTTTTCCACTAATGGCGCTAGGGTTCCTCTCTTTCCCTAACTCCTTTTCAGAGCTAAGATTTCTGCAATTTGTCGAGCCTCTACGCCTATGAATCACTGACCGATGAAGGACGACGGCGCCGGACCCACCTCCAAGATCCCCGACGAACAACCACTCACCGGTTCCATCCCCAACGGCGGCGCCTTTCCCACCGTAAACCCCTGTTATGATGCATACTCTGCCAGTACCAGGCGGAGGCGGAGCTCATCCCGGACGATATCCGCCGTCAGGCCCACGACCACGCCCTGGCCCTCGAGATGGGGAATCTTCCGGAGGCCGAGTAGTGGAAAATTGGGGATAAGTGAACACGCCCTACTGTGAGGTCTCGCATTCTTCAGGTAATAATAACACCAACAAAATCTCGAGTTTTTGGGTTTATCTCAAGGGTTTGACGGAGGGAGTTGCGGGAGGTGTTGGGGTGAGCAAATTTTGCAGGGGGAAAGAGGGGCAAGCGAATCCGGAGCTTTTGGATTTCGAAGCTCTAATTGAAGGGTTCGACTTGGCAACGCCGCTCGTCTTGAAGAGGATTTCCATTGTTACTGACAACCTTTGCTTTATCAATTTGTGAGTAAACAAACACTACTTGTAACAAGTTTCTTTGGTTGCTGTGTAAGGGTTGTTGTGTGTTGTTAAATTCCTATCCAGAACAAGAAAAAGACCTTACCCTCATCTTATTTTTCTTAAGCTTTTGGAGTGGTCTTGATGAAGGTCGAGATTTAAGTCTTATTTTTCATATGTTATGGTTTGAACCTGAGGTGTATATGGAGTTATATACTAGATTTTGCATTTCCTACCCGTTCAGATGGTCCCTAGAGTGTACTCATGTCAACTTCTCGTTTTTCAGTATTCAATCATGTCCAATTTTTGGCTCGTTCATGCCGCAGAAAGTCTCATATGCTTTTTCTATATACAGTTTGAGCATCTGAGTTTCCAGTCGAGATCGAAACGATGCCTTCGCGTAGAAGAGTTCTTCTCAAGGTCATCATCCTCGGCGATAGTGGGTGAGTGTTTCCTGTATTTTGACGAATTTGTATTCGCGTGATGTGCTTTTTTCTTTCTTTTTTTTTTTTGGCATAATTTTGTGCGGCGTGGTTGTGCGTGTAGGGGTAAATTCAGGATTTTTTTTTTATTTTTTATTTTTATTTCGTTATCATGGAGGATCATTTTCAAGGCTTGGGGAACAACTTTTTTAAAAAAAAAAATTAAAACACAATCTAGCATTAAACTTTCCATACGTCTAACCTTTATGAAACAGGATTTGTTGTTTTCGTTTTATCCAAGTACTGTGGAGGCTCATTTTGGTACTTCTAGTCAAACAAGCATCCGAATGGAGAGAATGGGATAAGCTCGCGATCAAAGTGGAAGAACCTGAGCTTTAAGAATGAGATTCTCCAAATTTTCCAGAGCATGATATTACCCTCTCTAACATTATAACGATTTCATTGTTTTCTGATTTGATTAGATTTGTCGTTTCTGATTTTGTTCTCATTGCACTTGTGAAAACTCAAGTCAAAATGTCAAATGGATTTTTATTTTTTATTTTTTGGCTATTCTCACTATTAATTTGTGTTGTCTGGTGACTTCAAATAGATAAGTCCACTCTTTTGTGATCTGAACTTCATTCTTGATGATATCGTTATGGAGGCTGTACCGTTGTTGACAAATCTCTTACAGTATCCTGATGCCAAGATGACATTTACATTGTTGTGCATTGTAGTATGACAGCCATTTTACTTGGATTCATCTGTAGATTCTCCTTTTTCATATGTGACCTGATAAACTAATACCTGTATATTCTTTTGTGTGATTCTTAGGTTTTGGAATATGCATCTGTTTGTTTGACGCGGATTGCTGAGGCTTTCGCCTCATCACCTGAGAAGCTCGATGAACTTTGTTAGTAGCTTGGAGTATCATAACCTTTTTCTTGCAATGTACACATGATATAGGTTCTGTGGAGTTGGATTCAGCTGGTGTCTCTGTATCACTTTTTAACATCATCTCGAAGCTTTTCAACATTCCTCTCCTCAGTGTTGCAGCATCCTTTTGCCTGAAGCATATCAAAAAATGCAGGCAGGTTCTCAGCAACAAGTTGGTGTTATGCACTTATCATGATACTGACAGATTTCAGTCTGATATCATGTGAAACCACTTTGTTCAGTATCTCTTGTCAATTTCTTGAGGGTAGAAGTGTGTTGGTGATATCATCTTAGTCAGTGAATCTCTTATTGATGTTATAGAAAAGCTGCAGCTATCCTCAGTTTCCACAGCTTTAACTTTAGCTGTTGGCATTGGTATATTTGAGGCTATGGCCCTGTCTTTGGGAATGCTTCTCGGCTTGATGGAAATATCATCGGTATGGATTTCCAATGTTTTAGATTCATCTTCATTTCCTTGCATCCCTTTCGGTTTGCTTTTAATCCTGTTTGCCATTTCATGGAATATTGGAACGGTCTTTTATTCTGCGGGCCCTTGGTTTCTCCAACTTTTGTAGTTTCTTTGGCACTTGAAGGAATCTTCGGTGGTTTCATTTGAAAGACAGAACCATTGGTTTCTTTGCACTTCAACAAGAACCAACGGTGGTAATTTTGAACCTAGGTTCTTGTTTATTTCCTTGGATCTCGTTCTTACAATTTGTTCATGTGCAGACCAAAGTCCGGACTGGTGGGGTTGGGGCTACTGGCTGTCACCTCTGGCCTATGGATACAACGCTATTGCAATGAACGAGATTTTTGTTACGAGATTTCTGAAAAGAAAAAGAATTGCACCAAAAAAGAGCAACTTGAGAAAAAAGCTCAAAAGAGAGAAGAACAACTTCGTATTATGAGAATATATGTTTCGAAGCTTCCAGAAACTCTACAGAAAAGGATTGAAGATTGTCAAATGCGGATAATAGATGAATGAGAATCCGAGGGTCTTTTTGGAGAAAATGGTGTATTATTTAGTTAAATGTCCAATTTGTTCTACTCATTCTTCCATTTGTTCTCGGTTATAATTTTTCTATTGGTTTTGGCATGTAGGAAAATAAACCATTGACAGAATCGTTGGCCGGAGAATCACGCACTACTAGAGAGACCGATTCGGACAAAGAGTGAAAGTTTTTTGTTTCTTTTTAGCTTAATGCATAATGGACTTGCAAATTAAGCTACTTAGTGTGTTAGAACATTTTTCTATGATTTGTTTGACTATCTAATGGAGTATTTGAGTTTTATGCAAATTTGTTTCTATGATTTTCTATGGCTTTTTTCTTTCTTTCTGTCACTCTTTTTCTGTTCACTTTATTTTTATTTTTTTTTAGGTTAAGAGATTTTTGAGTTGGTTTTGCTGTTGAGACTCGAGATGCTAGTTCTATACAATAGTAGATTGTTAAAAGCAAGTCTAAAGTTTGAGATTATGGTATCTGTAAAAGAAATTAAGACAGCAAGTTAAGGATTAAAATAATTCAGTTGTAAGCAAATGTTAGCACACGTTGGACAAAATAATTAATTTGTGCTCCATTGCTCAGGTTTGGCATTCAGTTTTAGAACAGAATTCAAATACTTCAATCGGCTTTAGTGGCATGAGTTTTGAAGAGAAAAGGAGGCCTTATTCTAATCTCGATGTTAAAACCTGGCACATTTGAAATCAGTATAACCTGAGCAAAATAGATACATCATACAAACCTGAAGCAATTAAATCTGTTTTGAAACATAACATGTTCTGAATATAACCTGAGCAAAATAGATACATCATACAAACCTGAAGCAATTAAATCTGTTTTAAAACATAACATGTTCTGAATATTCAAGTGGAAGCATGCATTTGTTTTATCTTTGTAATTCACCATTTGTAATTCACATGTGAAGAGGTTTAAATTTACTTGATATGCTGTAAACTTTTTACTAACTGAATGTCTATAATTCAATTATTCAGTCCTGTTATAATAATTCAATTGTTCAGTCCTGTTTATAAACATAATTTCCTTAGCATGCATTATTATCTTTCTCAGATAAAATATTTCTAAGCATGCCCTTTTTGGTATCAGAGTTTTATCTATTTTACCTAAGCACATTAGTTTGAGATTAAATAGTGGAACGGCTTATAACCCATAATAGTAACTGATAAAGAAATTAAGACAACAGAGCAGGATGACCAAACCAGCTCTTCCTAGAATACAACTTTCTTAAAATTGTATTGAAAGAACAATACGTGATATCATATAAGAAATATGTGATATCAAATAAGAACCATGTGTCCAAGATATCATATAAGACTGTACAACTCAAAGATGCTTAAAAGTATAAAACTCATCTGGTTAACATTTAGCTAACTGCTCAATTATGAGTTTAACCTTTCTAAGATAAACTGAGCACCAAAAGCTAGCAACGCATAGGTTACAGGAACATAAAAAAAATATGAAGGTAAGTTCAATTATTGTAACACAAATATAAACCATATGATTCATTTAAAAACAGATAAATGACCAGAAATTAAGTCAAAAGCTACCACCGATTTTGTAAACAAATGAGTGACTCCCACAGATTAACATTAAAGACCTACAAGGAGGAGTAGAAGTCCGAGCTGCCGGTGAACATTAAGAAGCTGCAGCAGAGGCTGGACTCACACAGAAGAGTGGGCTATTTTTCTAAGTATCTCTTCCTTGGCTTCATTTGCTTCATGGTAGAATATCTCAACAGCCATTTTCCTTCTCTCCAAATGTGAGTTTTCAATGCTGAAATGCATCCCGGCCCGTAGCTCGTCATATAGTTGCCTGAATCTTATTGTGAATAATCCACAATCATAACTGCAATACAACAATGTGATCAACAATTCAATGTTGTCGTTAGAATATCTGATTCAACATAACTCAAACTCAAACTTACAGATTCTTTTGCTGTGGTGCCCATTGAGCGATTTTCGTAGGAAATTTAGAAATATTGACACTATAAGTTGTACCACATCCAATCTCTAAAGCCTCATGGAAATACTTGAGCTGGATGACAATTAAATTTTATAAATAAAATCACAGCCAATAGAACTTGAAAAAAAAAAAGAAAAATAATTTTCAAACTAATTACCACAACTTTGGCACTTGAAATACGTTCACTACAATTTTTTGGCCTAAGTGAGTCCAATATCAGAACCTCATGTCTGATTATGTCGACTACACACAAGTACCAATGACCTCCAGGATTGATTGGAATGAAGATCTATGCATTTAAAAATTCAAAATGCCAATAAACCATTACTCAAACAATTTTACTAGCTAACTTGTAAACAATGCATCAAAATTATGGAAAGTTACCTTTTCACATTTTTTAATATCCCCTCCATATTTATCTTCACGCAAGAAATAACGACATATGCAACCAGCATCACAACCATTTTTCCTTTCGGTAATGTATTGCTACATCACAAAATATGTAATAACTTATATCTTTCATTAAATAATAATGCAAATAATATGCAAGTAGAATATTGATGACCTACCGAGACATAGGTTGGCATAAACCAATTTTCCGTTGATAGTTTAGAGGCATCGTTTCGATTATCCCACCTCAGCATACAAGCGTATAGATTTAAAATCTACAAATCATAATAAACAATTACACTCGATCATTGTAAGGTTTAACATAAATAAACTTACTTCTGCACTTAGCCAGTTTGAAGTCTGTAGTTCTGTTAACCGTGTTCTTTCTCCAAATTCTCCTGACATCTCCACGATCTTTTCACTTGCAACATCAAAAAAGAAAATAAATTAGCAATAAATTTTATATGCATTCTGATGATAAATGTGCATAAAAATAAACACTTACTCGGGACTGTGGTTTACATCGAAGATGTACTTCAAAACATTCTTCTCTTCCTTACTAAAATCCTCTTCAACACCCTAATACAAAAAACAAATCATAAAATGGGATATAAATAGCGAGACACTTTTTAACAAAATTTATAGATGTAGTTTGTAAGGCATTGTATGCATGTGAAATAATATATTACCTTACTCTTCAAGGGACTCTTTGTGTCATTTTTCGAACTCATACGTTTGGAAGAAACTTCTTCAGATGAATCACTTAACACTATGTGCACATCAGGTGATTTTTTTCTACCCATTCCACCCATTCCACTCAGAGAGGCATCAAATTAAAAATTATGACGAAATTTTTTAGCGGCGGCACCTGATTTTTCACGAGATTCGGGATCCTCTTTTGAATGTTTTGCCTCTATAAGAGAATTAATCAAATCAAACAACCTATCTATCTTCGAATCCATATAGGCCATGCGACGAACCATATCATCCACCTTTTCTTCCAAACTAATCATCTTTTTCTCCAACCTTAAGGCTCCATCTTCAATTATAACACCAACCTACGCATAATATTTAATTATAAATAAATAAAAATATTGCTGAATTGCCTACACAAGAATAATAGATGCATCATTTAAACATAGAGAACTTACATTGATTGTTTCCGCTTTTTCTAAATTAATACTTCTAGGCCTTTTCGTTCCCATCTTGCAGTAATCTACAATACATTCAAACATAACTGAAATTGCACACGCATAATTCCATACACACGTAGTGAACTCAATATGACAATAAACTCATATGCACAATTATTTCAATTTCACCCGAACACAGAAGTTACTAACTCAAATTACACACACCAAAATTCATACACACAAAGACTAATATGACAATATCATTCATATAAACAACTAATTCAATATTAGTTGTGTGAGAAAGGTACAAAAATTCAATCTATCTCTATTCCTACTCTTGACGAGCACACACGCACTGATGCATGCATTGACACATCTACAGACACACATCTATTCTAGTAATATTTATATCGATTCTTAGTTGAAAAGTTATGGCTACTGCTAGGTTCATCTACCTTGCATTTCAATCTAACAAACCATTAGCGACCACACAAAATCATAGGAATCCATAATCTTCTAAACCTTTGTCGTTCTTTCTTTTATCTGTGTAAACCTGAAAAGTTGAATCCACAGCTATATTTTTGCAAAAAGCATTGAAAAATATGATATGCAGAATTATATATACTTTTAAGCACCAGAATAGTGAAAAGAAAGTGAAAAGAAATTGATCTTAAAAAAGACAGCAACTTGTGACTTCTTTCTCAAAATAAGAATGAATCTCTCGACTTCATTTTCTTATGCTCGGTAATCTAAACTTGGTTGTCCTAACTCCCTAATGCTAAAGAAAGCTATCAAGCAACTAGCTAGCCAAGAGGCGCTACCCCAGGCCTTGAGTCCATTCCTGGAATTCAAAGTAGTACTGTTTAGAGTGGCAAGAGATGATTCGGGGTAATTGAAGAACTCTACAAGCATAGAAAACATAGTAAAAAAGTTCACTATTGTTGCTCTAACATAGGTATAGGTTTGGATATTTTGATTTTCTCCTAAAATTCATCAAACTAATAAATTGATTCTAAACAATAAAAAAAAAATGAGATTTACCTTTGTTGTGTGTGATCTCCAAACTTGAATGTTGTGACTATTACGGATGATAACATAAAAATTGGCACAAGCTTGAAGAATAATGAACCAGTTATTTAAAGGAAGAAGAATGATGGCCATAGTGGGTGGAGTGGACGATCGTGTGAAGATAGGCCAGAAAGCTTGATTTTTCTTCCCTCTCTTTCGGACAAAACAATCGTGGGAGTTTTTTCTTCTTTTTTTTTTTCGCTGAGTTTCTGATTTCTTAGAGAAGGTGAACAGTTGGAGTTGGAAAGGGAACCTGGTGGAGTTGGGCTGCCTGTAAAAAAAAATAAATTGCCTACATTAAATCGTTGATAACATTATTAATCACGCACTTATATTGACTCTATCTTTCCTTTGATAACATTATTAATCAAACACTTACATTTTTCATGCTACTATGTATTCTAATAATTAAACAATGATAATACCAAATAATTTAAAACAAATAATGAATTAATGAATCAAAATAAAAAAAGTTAAAGTATTTTTTATTTATGATATAATATAAATAATTAGGTGTTTTTTTAGTACAATTTATTTGTAAAAAGATTTTTCAAAAAATAACTGCATATATTTATTATTCAGTATGTTAGAGTGAGTTGAACAAATATAATTATGGTAAACTTTCAACAATAATATGTTTTATTTCTTTTACTAATCTTATTTACCAAAAAAGTACAAGTTATTTATTTTTCAGTGATAAATAATTTATATCTACAATTAATTATTCATTAAACAGATTTAGCTATTTGATGAATAATTATTGCAATTAAAACATATAATCTTCTATGAAAAATAAATTTAACAACAAAAAATCACTTAGATGAGATGAATAATGTATAAAACAAACTTCGCACACCTACCTCTTTGTTTGCCGAGTCACTAATCGGCCGGTAACCGCTTGACATGGCATGTCCTAATCCTTCGACTCATAGAAAAACATAATGTGCAAAGAACCAAACAGGACAAAGCTTCCCATAATTTTTATTTTATTTTTTTGAATATTATAGTAGTAAACATGCTGTAAAAAATTTACTTAAATTCGGTACAGTATGAGATGGTTATGTTCGGTCTAGGTACAAGTATTTGTGAAATCTACAGAATCGTACCAATTATTTTTTTTCAATCGGTTCGAATAAAGACAAACGGTGAACAATTATTTTTCGAAAACTATCAAACGATAAACGATTATTTTTCAGTTCAGAGTGAATTCGATTTAGTTTAAAGAAAGATTTGAAATTCTACGAGTCTCATGTTCAGCCTTATTACTTAGCATTTCAAGTAAATCTATTGACAATTTGAAGTTTTATAAAATAAAATTGTACATTAGCTAGTTTTTCGATCAGGAACTATTAACTCAAAATTAGTTTACAACATATTATTTAACTCAAAATTTGTACATTAGCTAGTTTTTGAGTAAGGCTGCAGTCTCATTACGAAACCATTCCGTTGGAATTTTTAACCGTTAGATGCACATGCTACACTAATCTACATGTGCATCTAACGGTTAAAAATCCCTACATGTGCATATAACTGTTAAAAATCCAACGATTCCGTAACGAGACTGTAGAATTTTCCATAGTTTTTATAGTGTTTGATTCTCGACCAAAAATTGTTCGCCAAAAAATGAATATAAATACTATACACATATTTTTTTATCTATTATATAATATTGAAATTTAAATGCACATTAACTTATTATTTAAAATTTAAAATAAAATAATACCTATCTTGTACGAAATTAGATAGTCAATAATCAACAATCATTATTAGCTCTATAAGTATAAAATTGAGGTGAATTCATGGATCAAATTATTAGTATGATGAAATTTAAATTATTTAATAAATTTATAAATTTGGAATTAAATAACATATAAACTCCACACAATAAATTCCACATTTTAAAAAAAAAAAGTATTTGCCTATTTGGTACCAATAGGAAACAAAACAAAAAAAACAAAAAAAAAAAATGTAACTCTTCACAAACGTGGAGTGAAAAATTGAAGCATGAAAGAAAGCAACTGCCGCATCACTCACACGTCAAACCGCTTGTTCAAAAAAATTTCCCCCTCGCTCATCTTCTTCGTTCTTCAAAGAAGTTTTCCATCGGATAAAATTGTCGAGTCATTAATCAGCAACTGTTCAGTGTACGTTAATCCATTGGAGAAAGGTACACTTCTTCATCTTCTACAAAGAGGCATGGGAATAGGTTTAAAGAGATGAGTAATCAGCTGTGTTCTTGGGACTATCTTTGATTTTTCTTTATTCTCTGTTTTTTTTTCTTTTTTCAAATTTCAGCCTTTGAATTGTAAGTTTCTTTTTATGGGATTTGAAATAGTTGAATCAAAAGATTCTTATGACTTGTAGCTTGCAAGGGGAACTATATTACAAAATTCAAAAAAAGAAATAACCTAAAATTATACCCAAAGAAAATGAATATTTTCATTACTTTCGTTTATACCTGGTAAGATGAAAGCGACTTCTAGGTTATGCCAAAGTTTTCATCTTTTGGCCCTTTATTCTGAAATTTCACCCTTCTAAATTTATGTATCTAATCTTTTGGTCCTTCCTCTAAAAATTGTTTATGTATTCGTTTTTTTATTCAATTAAAAGCACTTTGTGAAAAAAAAAAACATAATACAAAATTTATTATATCGAGTACATATCATGCTGGATCGTATGAGAACAATGTCTTTTTCATAATCAAAATGAATACTTCAACGTGAAGTAAAAAATGATTTCTGGTGTAATCTATAAAATATATACGGGCTTTTATTGTTTGTTTATTTTCCATCAATTTTTATCAGTTTAAGATAAATTTAATTCGTCTTAGAAATTGTATTTGCTTAAATTAAATTTTGTAGTTTTATGTTTAATGGCCCTTCTTTTGTAATGTTCAGAAAAGGAAGATGGACAATGTTGATACTTCCGGAATACCACCGAAAGAAAAACAACAATTTCGGTATAAGTCAGAATGGATTGATGATATTGACGTAGAGGGAGATCATATAAAAGAAAAAATGTTTGAATCTGAGGAGGAAGCTGGGGAATTTTATAACTTCTATGCAAAATGTAAAGGATTTTCAATCAGAAAGGAAGATGTACGGCGCAACAAAAGCTCGGGTATGATTGATATGCGTAAATGGGTTTGTTCTAAGGAAGGGTTCCGTGATAAAAAGTGGTTAGAAAAGGAAGATAAAACAAGAGAACCCAGGCCCATGACTAGAGTTGGTTGCCCAGCATCATTTCGTGTCAAGTACAACAAGAGGCTGAAGAAGTTTGTTGTCACTGAATTTGTAAAGAAACACAACCATGAACTCATGACTGAGGAGGGCGTATCGTTTTTGTTCTCCCATCGATCGGTGAAGGAGTCTGACCTTGTAGAAGCGATTTCCATGCATGAAGTCGGTTGGTGTACGAGTGAGATAATGAATTTTTTTGCACATCGATCGGGTGGATTCCACAAAATTGGCTTTACCTTGAAAGATTTGTATGACTGTACTTATGCCAAACGAAAAGCAGATACGAGACGGGGATGCGGAATGTGCTTTGGCCTATTTCAGTGCATAAAAAGATGCAGATCCATCATTTTTCTTCAAGTTTGATGTCGACGAAAGCAATAGATTACGTCGTTTGTTATGGGCTGAATCTAGGTGCCAGTCAGATTACCAATATTTTGGAGATGTGTTGGTGTTTGATATGACCTACAGGACTAATGCTTATCGAAAACCTCTGGTCATATTAGCAGGTGTAAATAACCATTACATGACTACAATTTTTGGGGTTGCACTCTTGTCAGATGAAACTGAAGAGACATATGTTTGGGTCTTAGAGACCTTTGTAGCTGCAATGGGAGGTAAAAAACCTATTTCAGTTATCACTGATGGGGATAATGGTATGAGACTAGCCATAGAGAATATTCTTCCAGAAGCGAGGCATAGATTGTGTAGCTGGCACCTTCAACGGAATGCGGCTGTAAATGTACATTGCACGTGCTTTTGTCAAGCCTTCTACAAATGTATGGATAAAATTTGCAGCAAAGAACAATTTGAAAGGAGCTGGAAAGATTGTATCCAAAAGCAACAAGTTGAAAATAACTCATGGGTAAACGAGACGTATTCAAAACGTGCAAAGTGGGCAGAAGCATACTTAAGGGGACATTTTTTCGGAAATATGAAATGCACTCAGCGGTGTGAAGGTATGAATGCATATTTTAAGAAGCATGTGAATCTTAAAATGAGGTTATATGAATTTGTAAGATCATTTGATTTGGCTTTGGCAAGGCTAAGATATATGGAAGCGAAGGCAAATGCTGTAACAATAAATAGCTCTCCTGTACTTAGTACTCATTTGAAAGATATAGAGAAACATGCGGCAGATTCTTTGACCAGAAATATGTTCTTTATTGTTCGTGAAGAAATAAAAAAGGAAGCTGTATTATTGAGCAAAATTGAGCATGAATTTGGTTCAACCAAGATGTACTCTGTATATGAGTATTCAAAGCCTGATCTTACACTTACCGTAAAATTTGATAAAGATTCCCGGTTATCTGAGTGCTCTTGCTTGCAATTCGAGACGGTTGGGTGGCCTTGTGCTCATATGTTTGCAGTGATGAAGGCCGAACATATAAAAGAGATTCCTTCAACTTGTGTAATGAAGAGGTGGACTCGGAATGCTAAGGAAAACGAGCTCAACAAAAAAGAACCAGAAATTCGTAAAGATGTCACTCAAAATGCACGTTATGGTTCTTTGATTTCCCTTTGTAACAAGATGTGTTACTATGCCTCATTATGCGATGAAGGATATGGCGAATTATGTGACACGATCACTCGGGTGACAAATAGAATGCATGAAATTTATGCTAACTCCCGTCCTTGTGACAGTGAAACCGATGCTTCAAAGAAAAATGAAAAGCATCATTTTGGTGTGCGTGATCCAATAATTACAAAAACTAAAGGATCAAGTGGTTTACATTCCAAACAAAAACCAAGAAGGTGCAGAAAATGCAGGTATTTTCTCATATTCACCTATACGTATAAGACACTTATTTAAAACTATCATCAGACCTTACACACATTGTGAAAAATCCATGTAACCTTTGCTAACATATTAATTTAAATTTTTAAATGTTTATGTAGGCTTCCTGGACACAATAAATCAACATGCCCCAAGATGAAATCCCGAGAAGATGACAAAGATTCATTGGATTTTGACGCTTCAGGTGAGGATGATAGCCAAGATCAATCTTCTCTTCATGCCAGTTCAAGGAGGGGATATCACAGTTGTGAATATTCAAACTCTAGCCATGTGAATCCGCAACCAAATGCTTTTCCTACATCTAATCAATGGTCTGGAAATGATTTAAGCTTCCAGGTAAAAGAATTCATGAACTTAACTTCATTTTACCAGTATAGTATTAAACGTTCCATATGTCTAACCTTTATGAAACAGGATTTGTTGTTTTCGTTTGATCCAAGTAGTGTGGAGGCTCAATTTGGCACTTCCAGTCAGAAGCATCAGAATGGAGAGAAGGGTAACTATTCTTCCATGATAATGCTTGTGATGCTATAGAAATTATGAAATTGTTGTTAACCAATACTTTCCGAAATGCAGGGTTTGGATGAACGTTGTATTCATAGTCCAAGAATGTGATTGTCTGTAGGAATGGTAAAATTTGAGGTTTTCATCAGTTAACCACTCTAAAATTGTCTCTATCTACACGTATATCCAACTCATTTCTCCCAAGATGGTGTTTTTATTGTTAGTTTATATATTGTTTTAAATTTTTTTTTTTTCATGACATATCTGGATATTAGAGATGAGAGGAAAGGGATAAGCTCGAGACCAGAGATGAAAGAAACTGAGCTTGAAGAATGAGAGGCTCCGAGTTTTTAGAGCATGATATTACCCTCTCTTATATTATAAGGATTTGAATGCTCGTCGGCACATTTTGCTGGCTAAATAACTTCTTCAGTTTGTCTAATTTGAAGTTGAATCTTTATTTGTGTGCCTGTATCGATTTGACCGTTTTTAATCTCAGTGACTCTGCAAATAGATTTATATTGGTTAAGTGGTGTCATGTTAATCGTTTATCTAAATTTGTTTATATTGGTTTGGGCATTAATGCCTTGTTAATTCTTAGGTTTCTGTAATTTGGAGCACTTCATGGAGAATTCGTAGGTTTTTGTAATTTTCTCTTGACAAAGAAGCAAGAAGTTTCACAATGTTGATTGTTTCTTGAAAATTGGAATAGAATATCTACTGATGGTGTTGCAGGCTGTTTGAGTTATTAGCATCCTTGATCTTCTCGTTCAGAAGAAGCATGTTGAAGGCAATAAAAATTCTGGTATTGTTCATATAAAAGCACACACAATTGAGCTCCAGGGAACTCCAAAGGTTATTATGGTCATCTATACTTTGATTTTTGTCAAAATCTGTTTCATTTTACTCGGTTTTATTGAATTGATTGATTGTGCAGTGATCTTTGTACTGTTGTTACTGATGTTACTTGGTGTTGCGCTTTTATTTATTGTCATGTTGTTGCTCTCAGGTTTGAAACTTGGTCTTTCAGAGGGCTGTGTTTTATTTGTGACATGTTCTCGGAATTGTAACTTGATCGTACATGTCTGCATAATTTTTCTACCTGAATCATGGTGATTTGGTGAGGAATCAGATTGATTTGGTATTTAATGAATTCATATGGACTGTTATGATTTTATTAATTAAGCATGTGGCATTTTCTCATAGTTCAACACTGTTTATATCCATTTCATCTCACCTGGATTTTAGCTCTCTTTGAAGTTTGTCGACTTGGAGCAGTTTTAGAGGTAAGTTAAAATAGCTTGAAACTGTGGTCACCTTTTTTCCCTGACAAGAATTGTGGTATGAATTGCTTTAATTAGTTTTACCATTTCTGATTATTATTATCTTCGACGTTCCTTAAATATATTGCAACCTTCGTGATTTGAAGCAGCCAGGATCTCATTGCAAAAACCATAATCAAATGTTTTTGTTGCTAATACTGTTATTAAGGTTATGGTTCTTCTGGCGAAAATGGTTTTCGTGTAATTTGAATTTATGTGTATTGAACCTGGAGATGACAAATTAGTTTGATTGATACTTCTTCCTGCTTCCTGCCATACAAACTATTTGTGTGTTGTACTATTCAGGAAACTGAATAGTCTTGCTAGGACCTGGTAATTTGTATGTACTCTACATAGTTTTCTAACACCTAACTAGCATGTAGATTTGTTTTCTGTGAACAACGGTATAATCATTATTTAAAGAACAGCCTATCTATTTTTACTGTATAGGCACTTGCTCAGAAATCCATAAGATTAGTGGTCCAATATTCAGGTCAATTATATGCATGCGAAAGTGAAAGTATCTACTTCTATTGCTAATGAGGAATTTGTTCCTATAGAATTTGAACTTAATGTTGGAAGAAGTTGTGGTAATTTTCTTAAGCCATTCTTGTTACTTGGTGTGTCATTTTCATAAGACACTGACTTTAGCCTTACGTGGGATGTAATCTGTTTACTTTCCTTCTACAGTAAGAACATCCTGGGCTACTAATGTAGGAAACTTTGATAAAACATTCACAGGCTTGGAACCTCAATATGGTGTTCAGGTTAAGTCCTATATCTTTCTCTATTCATAAAAGATAATAGTTTATATACTAAAACTGAAACATTCATGTGGCCGATATTTTTCCTTTTTGTATAATCTCATACATATTGTCCCTGCAGGAACAAAATTAGAATGAAAGTCACAGTCATGCTTTTCAAGGTTATTCAGAGTTGGGTACTGCTGCACTGGAAAGCATCACTGAAGCTCGTCAGAGAAGTTCAAGAGAGAAAGCCTCAGCAGATTGTGTAGCATATTTCCTTGTTATAAGTCATATAAACATATTAAAGGCCTAATCTGCTTTATCTTAATTGATTGTTATTAAATATAACCAGTGAAGTCATAGAGGTTTTTTGAGGAAGAATCTCGATGTTGCCAGGAGAGGAGAGGATCGCCAAGTTATATACATTATACAGTTAAGGTAATTACCCCCAAAGTTTTCACTCACCAATTTTTCGATTGCCATCTTCATTCTTTTAGTTACGTAGACTGAAAATATCACATTGGCAAGAAGCATTAAAGGATTTGATGCCCCAACCTGAGGTGGTAAGATACCCATTCTTTGAGAAACAATAAACTGTTTTAGCTCTTTCTTTAGAGTTTCTTAGTGAAACTGACATGTTCTCAAGAGGCTGGACATCAAAACACAGCTGTCAATGTAAATAACCAGCTAATGTTGAGTAATTATTGGGCTTTTTGTAACAGTGATGACCTTCAGTTTAGTTTTTCCTTTGTCATATATTTTCAATTACACCTAATTACTTTCACAATTTGCCGTGGGTAGAGGTGTACACCTACTGATGTAAGTGTACTGTGTATGGTGAATGGAAACATTTTTCGTTTCATGCTAACCAATTAGCCAATGTGTATCTTGCATGTAAGTTGTTACTTATGGTGGGTAATTTCTGAACATGCAAATATTTGCAAAATCAAGTGAAGGAAAATTATAATCCTATTGACTTCAATCATTTAGATGTCATTTTCTTACTTCAAATCTGGAAAAAATTTTTAAAACAAATTTAAAACCGGTGGAATCATTTTAATCCTTATCTTTCTAGAATGTTGATTATCTTATAAAAGTTTCAAATGATAATAGTGTATCAAAGACGAATTTTATATCAGGCAACCAAGAGGAAATATCATTTGCTACAAATAGATTTGTTAAGAAAAGTCAACATTATAGTTACTTCCATAGCCAACTTTCTTTTATACAGAAACCTACAGCAATATTTAAGCCTTTTCTCCAAACCACAGAAAAAATAGAAACAATCACTATGAATATAAAGGACTCTTCCCCAGATTAAAACATACAACAATTACAACAATTCATAAACTAAAAACATGGTTGAAAAATTAATATGCATCATATTTTTCACATCTCTGTTTGTAGCTCTGCTTCCTTTTATAATCAGTATCTATCTACTTTCTGTTCTGTACTTTATATAATATAACTCTTGTTCAATTTTACAGATTTGAAGATACAAACAACATAAGTAATGTTCTTATAATAAAAACTAACATAACAAGTTAGTATATATATAAGTTTATAACATATCATATGAAAAAAGATAAAATGTTGTTACAAAAAAAATGGCCACCAACCAAAAATGGCTCTTCTTCCTTCACATTCTACTCCACTTATCAATCCTCCATTATCCCATCTCTCGGCTTCACCTTAAAACTCACCCGACGAGATTCGAATGACTCATCCAAAATCTCAACTTTTGGTAACTACTTTCCGAACACAATCCGCCCGAGAATCACCCGAACGGCTTCGAATTTCATGGTCAAGGCTAATATATAGCAAATATACACTGTTTGGTAACACCCGAACTTTTGTTGTGACATACAGAATTATATATAGCAAATATTACACTTTTAATCACCAACATAATATAAATTAGTACTGTTTAGAGTGGCAGAAGATGATTTAGGGTAATTGCTAAACTCTACAAGCAGAAAACATTGTAAGAAAGTTCACTATTGTTGCTCTAAACAGAACCTGAGTATCGCAATTCGCAACTAGTTGTCACACTCCAGCCACATTAAACAATAACGAAATCTTAATCTACCATAAGCAAAAGCAACTTAACTACTCAAACAAAAGCAGACATAGTAAGAACATCTAATAATGCAAGCTGGGCATTATTAGCAGGTAACAGAATAAAAAAATGATATTTTTAGCAAGCAGTGAAAAATTTACACAGTTGTTACTTCTCTACGAACCAACACAACCCCAAGATAAACCTGCAAATTTCTATAAAATCCAATAACAGTGACTTTTTCACTTTCAATTGATATTCACAGATGAACATATCTTCCAAACGAACCAAAAGCATGCATAGAACCCAATTGTCCCCGTCAACACAAAGAAAGCATACCATAATAAGCATGTACCCAAAGTACACAATACCAGAGACCAGCTTAGTAATCTCCAAGCTTGGTAAAGTAAAATGCAAAGTAAAGGAAAAGTTAAAAAGCAGACGAGCCGACAGTGAGATAAGAAGACATTAGTTAAAAACTATTGTCGAATCATCTTCTGAACAATTTAAAAGAAAAAACTCTACAAAATGCAGTGAAATAGCCACAGGGTCAGAGGCTTTCAAGTCAATGAATGTTCCAATTTAGTTTAAACCGGAAAAGAACGGGAACTGGGTCGATCTTTCGCCAAATTAAATTCTCCGTCTGCTCTCTTTGCTTCCTGCTTCGAACAGTTACGGCACTAGCTGAAAAAACAATTTGAAAAGCACATGTTATAATTTAAGAAAACAGCAGCCCCACAGAACATATCATCAAATCCGACCCTATCTACACCTAAAACAATCAATTACAAGTAACTCAAAAAAACAACATAATCGAAAAAACTTCGCCGAACCTATACAAACGAGCCGCAGCCCACCCCAACAATCGACCAAAATACGGAGACAGATATCCAAACAGAGACG